GTCTGGTACATTAGTTGGTGTAAGACATGATTTACAATCAGCCAATGCAATTACAAACCACTACATTAGGCCTATAATGTTTACTAGATCTAGATCTAGCCTGTTACATATATTGCCAGTCTTGCACCCCAGTTAATCTGTTATATCAATCTCGTAATTTCTTTTTGTTGAACATACATTTACTTGTACGTTGTAATCTAGAACTTGTATTTGATCTACAGATGAATGATGGAATAGTGTAATTTACTTCTGTACGTCAATTCGGTCTCACTGTATTTCAGTTGGCGGCTTTTAAAAATTAAAACTGTAAGCGTAATACACACAAATAATGTAACACTGTCGTATTTACTTAACGTAGGGCAGTTATGCTGGTATCCTAGGGGAGGGCATAATTATTTATTAATAGGCATTATAGGCCAGAGGAAATTTTGCGCCCCTTCACACCTACGCCCGGGGACGACTGCCCCCTCTTGCTACGCCACTGGGTCAGCCCACATCCACGCGGTCAAAACCCCCTATTCAATCAGACAAGAGTAGCCTCAGAGTTGACCATGGGTGTTATTTACAAGCTGTCTTCCCTATAGTCTATCAGCTCGTAATTTTAACAAATATAATAATAAATGTTATGGGGCCGTTGATAACCGAAGTTCATGTAATACATACAGATATCCAATGCAAGTATGACAAAGAATTGCCAGAAATATCGATGTTTACAATCTAATTTTGAGGTAGTGGGAATAGCAAAAGTTTAGCCATATCTTTAGCAAGATTAAATGTATGCAAAATAATGCACTTCTTGGGATTGCAAAATCTTTCTATCATTTAATGTTCATATATATGTGCAAAATAATTACACTGGTAAGAGGACTAGTTTCATCCAAGTCCTAATATCGTAATTTGTCTACCAGTACGGTTTCTAATAATGGCATTTATTTTGCGCTTTTATATTTTCAGGCGAATATGTTTTTTTCATATATCACTTTGCTGGCTCAAATTCCTTGATTCATCCATTACCTTAGGTATTTCTTGCTAATATAATGAGCTTATTGTACAGTATAGAAACATAATTTCATACACAGTATTGGTTGTCCTGTCCCTCACCTAATTGTGGCCCAGCATGGCCAGGTGGTTAGAGCGCTCTACTCGCAATTCGAGGGTCGTTGATTCGAATCCCCGTTAAACAGCCGTAGGGGGCATTATAATGTAACGATTAATTCCACTATTCGTTAGTTAAAGAGTGGGATGTGATGACTAGCTACCTTTCATTAAAAAATTAGGGACGGCTAGCGCAGATAGACCTCGTGTAACTTTGCGCGAAATTTGAAAGTTAAAACTAACCCTAACTGATTGTATCAGACAAAAAAAAAATAGATTCATTTCAACTGCTACTGTAACAAGTCACTGAACTGAAATTCCTCATGAGCAGTATAGAGGAATAATATTAAAAAACACTTGCAGCTAAAAAGTGTTTTAGTACATTCACATGGCTTAATAAATGCCGATCTATCTGACCGAAGTTTAAATTTAGATTGTAGAAATATTAAAGATCCCTAATCAAACTCGTACGTACTCCGTGTTTTCATAATATTATTATCTGTAAGTGTTTGTAAAGTTTTAAAACTGTGTAAATTAAAATAGTTTTAGACAGTAGGTAAATATATTAATTTTGTAAAGATAATATGTATATGAAAATGTTTATATAGTGTATAAACTGTTTTATGGAAATTTTACGAGTGGGTTTATGAATATTTAGTTGAATACTGAATATGAAACATTTGTTTTAAGACAACTTACAGGATGTATGGAGTTACTAAGAGAGATCATCGATGCACAGAGCTGGATATGATAGGAGGATGGACTCCAGCCAAAGGATTTGATCCTTCAGTCTCCCTGTATCTGACAGGACAAAGTTTAATGGATTTTACAGGAGATATCTTGGTGGTTTCCGTTGTTAGCGTAAGTTATTTTATACTGAGGCATTCATCTTGGAATTTGTATTTTAGAAATAGTTATTCTACTATAATTAACATTATGTCATTTGATATTTTTTAATCCAAGTTACAATAATCCCTAGGCTATTTTTAATATTTTCCATGGTTAGACGAGAATGGGAAGCCTGAATGAATTTCATATCATCCTGAGAATACTCCTCTCTCCTAATAGGAATTAAGGTCTTTGTGACCTAGGAGGGTCAGGTACTCTGAGACCTCTTCCTCCCTTCCGAACCATGGTAGGTCGTCCGTGAATGTGGAGTGTTACTGAGAATACTTGTTTGTTTGGTTTGAATTTCGCGCAAAGCTACACGAGGGCTAGCCGTCCCTAATTTAGCAGTGTAAGACTAGAGGGAAGGCAGCTAGTCATCACCACCCACCGCCAACTCTTGGGCTACTCTTTTACCAACGAATAGTGGGATTGACCGTCACATTATAACGCCCCCACGGCTGAAAGGGCGAGCATGTTTTGATGCGAACCTGGCCATGCCGGGCCTCCTGGGTATACAGAGATAACATTTGTAGCGTTACTTCATATCAGAAACAAGCCAACTCATAGCTATATCATATTAGAAGAGCCATGTTTTATATGCACTAAATATACAGTAATAATATACCCTCTCTCTTTTCAATATTATTTGTTCGATTAAAAGTACATGTTCCAAGATTTAAATAACTATTATATAAAACCATCTTTATTGAAAGACTGTTATGAATAACAATTAAAAATAGTCAATATACCACATATAACAAAATATAAGAACCTATGAGAGCCATTTATTTTATTTAAGCTAGATAAGACGGATTATAGAATGATGACTGTATTTTATTACACCTTTTTGGGCCATGCCCAGGATAAGTTTTGCATCAATTTGTAATGTAATGAAATATTATATTTATAACAAATTTCAAGTATTCCTACATAATAAAATACGGATAGTACTATCAAATAAACACACATATATAATTGTATAAATATATAAACTTAACAATATTATACATATGCGTACAACTGTTTCAATAATATATTCTGTTACGAATACCCAATAAACAGTTCTTTAATTGTATGTTCATTGTTGTATATTTACTAAAGAACAATAGATTTGTACAAGCAAATGTATATGTATACTATAACTTATTGTTAGAAACATTACCGCTTCATTCTTTTCAATAGTGTTTTCCATATTTTGTGCTGAGCAAGGATCAGAATGGAACGTTAATTCCCAAATATGGAACTGATCTAACTATGTTGAACGCCCTCGCCAGTACTATGAACTTCAGGTAAATCATGCTTTCTCATTTAAACTGCCTTTCCAC